AAATTCAGGAAAAGCTAATAGAACTGATAGTCTCTCAAACCAGAAAAGTAGAACAAATTCAAAACGACTTAATTTTATTTTTTGTAAGTATAAAATTATTGTCCCTCAAAACCAGAAACGTAGAACAAATCCAAAACGACTTAACTTTATTTTTTTGTAAGTATAAAATTATTGTCCCTCAAAACCAGAAACGTAGAACAAATTCAAAACGACTTAACTTTATTTTTTTGTAAGTATAAAATTATTGTCCCTCAAAACCAGAAACGTAGAACAAATCCAAAACGACTTAACTTTATTTTTTTGTAAGTATAAAAAATTATTGTCCCTACAAAACAGAAACGTAGAACAAATTCAAAACGACTTAACTTTATTTTTTTTGTAAGTATAAAATTATTGTCCCTCAAAACCAGAAACGTCGAACAAATTCAAAACGACTTAACTTTATGTTTTGTAAGTATAAAATGTACGTACTTAGCTAGTCCGATAGGTATCGTATTTTATGTCTGGCGAAACCTTTAGAAGTTTACTCCAAAACGATAATAAAGCAATACACTTTACAAAACGTGTATAAAACGGTAAAACGGCTAGAATTGCACATGCCAAACAATCAGTTAAGACACATTAACAATTTCCATATAACTTATCTCAGCATTACAAACATCATTTATGATTGCGTTACAAGAGCGACGACACTCAAAATGTAATGTATTTTTCAAAAACACAACATCAATTTCAAACAAAGCTCAATTTATTCCAGCGACGTTTTGAACGACTTCTGTTCTTCAAGTCCCATTATTCGATTATAGCAGTTCAAGAGTTAATGGTGGGTGCTGTTGACTAGTTCCATTCACTCTAATCTGCTATTTCAAAATTAGAAACAGTTAGTGTGGACAATTTTTGAATTGATCCACTACATCATTCAATAACACTGAATAACAATTCATTTATAGACAAGAATTACCTCCAGATCTTTTACATCTTTCATAAAGTCAGTTCACTAATGTACAATTTATAATTATTAAGAAATAATTTTAGTAGTTGAACACAAGAAATTCTAAATCTCACTTTGTGCACTCACATTTTTTTTTTGTAAGCGTAGTGCTATTATTTCTGAATTTGTAAGCAACAACGTAACATAAAAATGGATCTTTTATATTGCTACAATAGGGAATGAATGTTTCGTGTGTTTCATTGTTGGCCAAACGAAAATAGATATAAAAGGTCGAAAACTGGCTTTATCAAAAGTTCAGAAACAATATAAAGGGTATAAAGACTACATAAATTTCACTCAAAAAAAAAAAAAAACAAGGTTCCAAAAGAGATATCTACTTTAAAAAATATTGTTCAACAAGTTCAACGATAATAAGTTTTGGATACTTTTAACCATTAGCAAAGTGAGTCACCACCCTTGTCTTCAAAACCATTACACTTTAGCCCTCTTTGCCAGAGATGATAGAGCCATGACAAATTTCTAAGAAACATATCACACAACGTCTTCCTTTATCTTTTTTCAAAACCACAATGAGAGTAGCCCATTAAATCCATATTCGCGCTTAAAGGGCGTTTATCTTGAATTTACTTAATGGAATATAAAGTTGTGTGGTACTCTTAAGTCGGCGCTCGACAAATCACGTTATCACGCCATTAATTTCTCGATCTATAACGCAAGCTGCAATAAAATCTAGTATATAGTCTTCTAAAGAAAATAACCCCTAGATTGCTCTATCTGGATTTCTTGAAAAATGTTTAAACTATTTTCCAATGACATAGATCAAGGAAATCTGCGGTAAATTACTCGACAACACACATTTAGCTACAGCGGTACAGATGTTTAAGGGATTTATAAACATCACAGTCGTATTTAATTTTTGGACTGTGTACCTATTTTATAACATTTGAAAGTTATCGAAGTTGCAAGAATGCAAATGTTGTAAACCCTTTAAGTAATTTTGAGTCTTTAAATGTCTTTCGGACAAACCTTTATTATCACATTCTAGTATTCTAACCTTATACAGTATGTGACTCCTTTAATTACATACGCGTGTTTGTGTTTCAGAATTTAACAGATGGTGTAGTTCCATCACCACTCCCCCTAGGAACACATTTTAGGATTTATAAGGCGTAGCTTGTATACCCAAGTTTCACTTGTCTGTCCTATATGTACGACGCTATTCGTATTCCGGCTAGTTATATTAAATTTAGATAATCATGCAAGGTATACTAAATATGCTGTTGTATTGTACTCTTTTTTTTTCCCATTATACACAACTGTTTACAAACATATACCGGACGTATGAGATTAAACGTAGTGGAACGTTTGAAAAAAGGGCTAGATCATAGCTGTTTATCTGACTTTTTAAAATTTAAGTTGAAGATAAGGAATTTATGACGTTCTTGATTTGAATTTTTTTTTTCTCCAGTTATAACTGCTCATTTGTTCGCTAAATAATTTCGTTGTTTTGTAGCTATTTACGAATATGTTTTATATACTAGCAGTCCAAACATTTGCGACAAACTATGACAATTACTTAATTGCCCGTAAAACAACGTGTTTATGGTCGTTGCGTTACATCTATATCGAAACCATGAACTACCTGACAAATTCACATCATGAGAACTGTGTGTAAAATCCAGGATAAAAGTGAATATTACGGAAAGCAAGACTGACAAATATTAAGGTGTGAAAGAAATTCGTTAATGCTCCCAGGGTAACCTCTGTATTCTAAGAATAGTAATGTTATGTTTATATGTGATGCTCCCAGGGTAACCTCTGTATTCTAAGAATAGTAATTTTATATTTATATGTGATGCTCCCAGGGTAATCTCTGTATTCTAAGAATAGTAATGTTATATTTATATGTAATGCTCCCAGGGTAACCTCTGTATTCTAAGAATAGTAATGTTATATTTATATGTGCCTTGTTACAGCTGTTGAAGTTGGGCACAGGATATCAATGTTTCTCAGAGTTGGGAATATAATGACGAGCAAGTAAGACAACGTAATATTATCGTAGACACACTCGGATAAACGCAAGTGACTAGAAAAAACAACAACAACAACTGAAACTTCAGATTTATGGAAATTAGTGTAGTAGATAAACACGGAATTTAATTTCCGTACAACGAAAATAGTACTAAAAATCTAATGCGATGTTAAATATTTACATACAGACAGATATGCTACAGAGAAATGTATCTTTGTGGGAACATGTAGTTAGTTGCGTGCATGACTGGACGTAACCAAATGATCAGAGGTTTCACGACCCGCTATAAAAGTTACGGCAAGTCCCACTATGCGATTATATAGATATGTTTAGCCTAAGAGTTCACGGTGGATGCTGTTGACTAACTGCCTTCCGTGTAGTTTATCAATTCAAGATTAAGGACGGCAAATAACCTTTGTGTTAGCCCAAGAGTTCGCGGTGGGTGCTGTTGAGTAACTGCCTTCCGTGTAGTTTATCAGTTCAATATTAAGGACGGCAGATAACTTTTGTGTTAGCCCAAGAGTTCGCGGTGGGTGCTGTTGAGTAACTGCCTTCCGTGTAGTTTATCAGTTCAAGATTAAGGACGGCAGATAACCTTTGTGTTAGCCCAAGAGTTCGCGGTTGGTGCTGTTGACTAACTGCCTTCCGTGTAGTTTATCAGTTCAATATTAAGGACGGCAGATAACTTTTGTGTTAGCCCAAGAGTTCGCGGTGGGTGCTGTTGAGTAACTGCCTTCCGTGTAGTTTATCAGTTCAAGATTAAGGACGGCAGATAACCTTTGTGTTAGCCCAAGAGTTCGCGGTGGGTGCTGTTGAGTAACTGCCTTCCGTGTAGTTTATCAGTTCAGGATTAAGGACGGCAGATAACCTTTGTGTAGCTTCGCGCGAATATCCGGGACAAACAAATAAACTTGCGAGGAATAAAAATAAATCATTCTTGATATGTTTGTTTGATTCGTTTAAGCGCAAAGCTACATAATGAGTTATCTGCGCTGTGCCTACTATGGGTATCGAACCACAGTTTTTAACGTATAACCCTCAAGCGTACCGTTTAGCTACTTGTGAGTTGTTCATATGTTCCTTCACAAAACTACTGAAGACTATTTGGAAGTTCTATATCTACTAATAAATATTAACTTCAGTCACTTGGGAGTTATTGATATGTTCCTTCACAAAAACTACTGAAGACTATTTGGAAGTTTTATATCTACCAACACATATTAACTTTAATCATTTGGGAGTTATTGATATGTTCCTTCACAAAAACTACTGAAGACTATTTGGACAGTTTTATATCTACCAACACATATTAACTTTAATCATTTGGGAGTTTTGATATATTCCTTCACAAAAACTACTGAAGACTATTTGGAAATTTTATATCAACCAATAAATATTAACTTTAGTCATTTGGGAGTTATTGATATGTTCTTTCACAAAACTACTGAAGACTATTTGGAAGTTTTATATCTACCAATAAATATTAACTTCAATCACTTGGGAGTTATTGATATGTTCCTTCACGAAAACTACTGAAGACTGTTTGGAAGTTTTATATCTTGTATATTAATTTTTTAAATGAAATAAGTATTCAATGGCAATAGCTCTCATGACAAAGGTAAAGTCGAAATATTTAAGCAAGTTTGATAGCAATATATATATATATATATATGTTTAGGGGCTCTATCTTGTTTACTCTTTGGTAATGTTTACATTGTCTCTGCGAATAATAAGCTCCCACTTGTTCGTCATACTAGAAATGTTATTCTAGTACCATCAAGTTAACCAATATCCTAGAGTAAGTATCTCTTGTCCAATAATAACGTTTCTAACTACGCATGCATTACATCTGAAGTCTAGATTTTCTTCGTTTTCTTTTAATAAAATAGCTCTGTAAATAGCTTTGATAACTACATCAATTAAACGACAGGCTTAAATACTTCAACCACTTTAAGTACGTCAATTACAAGATCATCAAAGAGTAAATATATATATATGCATTTGTACATAACTTACCAAATGGTTGTTCGTTATTTGCTGGTTTTTGTTTGAGCCATATTGAAGCAGTATGGGACCACAGTAGACTAAGACACAAGACACCACCTAGAAAGCTTTTGAAATTTCTTGATAGAACCATGATGAAAATGTATAGGATAAAGAAGTGTGAAAAAAGTTGGAAGTTGTCATAAACATAAAACAAGAGCCAAATTAATGCACCCACTTCTATTTAATTTTTCACTTAAAAATAGTAAAAAAGATTTATTCAGAACCATTATTCGCATATACCACAGATGAGACGAACAGGTTTAGCTCACACACCTAGATAAGATAGTTTGAAAATACTACGGCTTCACCTCACGACTCGCCAGCTTATAAATATGTGCTTCGGGCTAGAAGTTTTACTCCTTTAAATGAAGCAGGGAATATTGATTGCATTCGTAAGACTGTAGAGGGCAGCACCAATAACTTGTAAAGGTGCTTCTGTTTATTGAGATATAGATGTCATATTGTATGGGATAGAATAAAGTAAAAAGAACTTAATCATACTTTCTTTACTTATGTGCAAATTTAACTGTCAAAAAAAGATGCATATTATTGCTTCAATTCATTTGGCATTCACAAAAGTCATGTTAAGAAATTCGGGGGAATTTTAATGGACTAGCTCTCTCACTCGTCTCCAATAGCACTGATTATCATGCAGTGCTTAGTAATCTATTTGCCATTTCCGTCAGTTCTCTTCAATCTGTGTAAATACAAAAACAATGGTATTCATTCTTTTAGTGTGTAAAATCGAGAATAAGCCCTCCTTTCAGTTTCCCCAAAGTTCGTATTTAAGCAAAATAAACCAAAATCTAATCCTTTATATAATTACATGTAACGTCACATAACAATTAATTTAAGATCCATCGCCGCAAAAAAGTAGGATATTTTACTAAAAGTTGGGCCGAAAAAAGTTATGAAATATATAATCAAAAAAGCGCACAAAGCGCAATAGTAATTATTAGTAAACAGTTTAGCTACATTAGTTGATCTGATTTCAACACAACTTTCAGATTTTCAATCGAATATCAGGAAGCATGGAAACAGTAGTAGCTGACAGAGTATGTGATGAACACCCCCCCCCAGGGGCACAGCGGTATGTCTGTGGACTTACAACGCTAGAAACCGGGTTTCGATACCCATGGTTGGCAGAGCACAGATAGCCCAGTGTGTAGGTTTGTGCATAACTACAAACAAACAATGTGGTGAACACAAAAAAAGAAAGAAAGGAACATACCATGTTTGTCGTCTTTATGATCTATTACGTTCATGCACTGTACCTACGACGCATATTAACAACAACAGAAAGTGTAAAAGTAATCAGTTGTCAAATCAGTAATAAAAATAAGAAGGCGTTGCCATGTCATGGCCAAGTTTTTCGCGGCACCGGATCTTGGTATTACATATATAACAAATTTTAATACATCACTTTATTTAAAATTTCATTTTACGATATACCTCTGTAGTATCCCCATATCGATGTCTAGTCAAACAACATTATATTTCCCTACCAACACTGGCGTAGGTTTGGTTTGAATTTCGCGCAAAGCTACACGAAGGATATCTGCGTTAGCCATCTCTAATTTAGCAATGATAGACTAGAGGGAAGGCAGATAGTCATCATCACCCACTACCAACCGCTTGGGCTACTCTTTTACCCACGCATAGTGGGATTGACCGTCACATTATAACACCTTCGCGGCTAAAAGAGCGAGCATATTTGGTGCACGGGGATGCGAACCCGAAACCCTCATATTGGACAGATACATTCTCAACCTCACAAACCACAAAGTATATATGTACATTTTAGGAAAGGAGAGGTTGACAAGATCTGTCAATTACAAACCAACTACAAACCTCCATTCAGCTTCTATAATATATTAGTGTAAAGCTACTCTCACGTTCACCAACCTATTCAAAGCTGACGTAAAGAAAGGATAATAAGCATTTTAACTGAATAACATAGACTTCTAAAAGATGTATGATCTGAAAATGACTTGGTTCTTAACAAAACATGATACTCTTGGCTGCGCAATTAACACAGTTTTCTCGTTTTCACGTCACTTGGGAGTTTTTGAGCTGTAATAAAAATTAAACATTCATTTTCTATTGGCATGGCCTTGTAGGTATAACGTTCGACTCGCAATCTACGGGTCGAGGTTCGAATCCTGTCACAGAACATGCCAGCCTATCAGCCATGGGGAGCGTTATTTTGTGACGCTCAATTCCACTTTTCATTGTTAATGAGTAGACCAAGAGTTGACGGTGGATGATGTTGACTATCTGCCTTCCCTCTAGTCTACCTCTGCGAAATCAGAGTCGACTATTGCAGATAGCCTTCAAGTAGCTTTGCGCGAAATTCAACAAACATTCATTTTAATCTTGTTAGGTTACTGATTAACTGTTCATTGCTTTCTCTGGTTCGCATTAAAATGCGGAAATGCGTTGAATGTTTTGATAGAAGGTCTTAAATTTTCTTTTATAGAGGGGGTTAGATAAATTATGAAAATGTTTAAGCACACCTGTCAACTGTTTACACGAGATCTGCTATCTTTATGGCACTAATTTGTAGCTTCGGCCAGCGTGAGACAACGTGGCACTAGTGAACTCGCACAAGGACTCGTCCATTACAAGATTAAAAGCATTTAGAAATATTGTATTGACATCATTATAGTAGTGTATATATATATATATATATATATAAG